TTGTATCGGCGAAAGGACAGTAGGAAGAAAATAAAATATTTAAATAATCTAGAATTAGAACACAAAAGTCAATAAATTTGAGAATAAGCCAAGGAGTTGATGATGGCGGTAAAGGCTGTCCATTTGAGGAGAGAGAGAGGACCAAGGAACTTTAAAAAATAATAATGGCGTGAAAGAAACTCAATTGGTAACATTCACAATAAATGCAAGCACGGGTTGTCAGAAAGAAAAGTACAATAGGCAAGGGATGGGTTGGTAGGCCATCATGTTACTACAGTAAAAATGAACACTCTCTCTGTACCTCACAAGCCGGATACAAGTCAGATACAAGCCGGATTTCAAATGGCCAATGCATCAGAAGAGCAGAGGAGGAATTTCATGTAGCAAGGTCTAACCATTAAACCACAGAGTACAACAAAAGTCGCCTGAAAATGTCATGGGCAAATATCACTGAGCCTTTATGCGTATTTAAAGATGTACTAAAAAAACACAATATAAAATTTAACATGAACTTTGGTCAATTAATTAGAATCACGCATTGGACATTGATGAAACGGTACACCTAATTTACAGTATATATTCAACACAGATGATAAACTATGTTTATTCAAAAATTATGCTTGGGTACTATCTAGTGAAGGTGTTTCTCTCTAACACTGCTATTGCACCAGTTAATTTTATGAAAAAAATTTTGTCATAGGTCACAGTTATACATTCTTGAAATATTTATTTTTATGAAAATTTTGATAATCTTGCATTGACATACACCAAGATACCGAATGATAATTTGATAAATCTTAAAACATTAATTTAAACATACATATTAGACACTGGACTATTCGTGCAATTCACGTTTAGCAACTAGTAATAAACTAATAATAATAGTGGATGAGCATGGACAAAGAGCATATTGTTCTTCTATTGTTGGCTAGTCGGGCATATGCTGAAAAAAGCTGGTCAAACAAATCGTTGAAAAAATGAACAACCAGACGAATCGCCAAAAAAAAAAAATCGTGTCAATAGCTTCGTCCAAATATATTGGAGAAAGAATGCTCTTCATCCAGCATGTTAGAACTAGTATTAGGTTTCTTATAATTGAGTCACAGTATGACTCCCTATTCTAGTCTCCCTATGATTCCTCTTGTATATATTCTCCTTATCTGTACAGTTGTAACTACAGTTCATCTAATACAGTTTCCTACATTTCTCTTCTGGTATCAGTTAAGCTAGGGTTTCTTCCTCTATTCCAATGGCTGACGAATCTGCTAATTCCTCTGAACGGACCATTTCCAATGCAGTTATCACGTCTTCTACTAGCCTTGCTATTACTTCGCTTTCAACTGCTCATGGCTTTATCAGTATTAAGCTTACCCATAAAAATTATCTATTTTGGAGAACTCAAGTCATACCGTTTCTTGACGGACACGGTCTCACGCAATTCGTTGACGGGACTCATCCCTGTCCAGCACCGTTTCTTCCTGCTGTCGAAGGTGCCTCGCCCGTTCCTAATGCCGAACACACGTCATGGTTTCGGCATGATCGGGCTCTTATGTCTATGTTGATTTCTTCTCTTAGTGAAGAAGTCATGCACCTCACCGTTGGACGCTGTATGTCACGAGAGGTTTGGGAGTCAATTGAACAGTCTTTGGCTTGCGCGTCTTGCGCCCGCTCGTTAAATATCCTTGGCCAACTCTAGTCTCTAAGCCAGGGAGATTCCACGGTTGCTGACTATATTGGTCGCGCCCGTGTTATTTTGGAGGATCTTGCCTTGGCCGGTAAGCCAGTTGGGTTAGACGAGATGAATCTTTATGTATTTCGTGGTTTACGGCCGGAGTTCCAAAACCTAACTACCTCTCTCTCGGTCCGAGGTCAACCCGTAACTCTTGGTGAGCTCGCTGATTTCCTTGGCGCTCAAGAATTCATCCAGGGTACCATTCCTTGCGGTCCACCGGCGGCGTTTGCCATGCAGCGTAGCGAGCAGTCCCACCGAGGAAGCCGCGGTAATAACCGCGACGGACAGAACCAAGGTCGCGTGGGCGCGACGTCAATAGTGGTAGTAGCGGACCGCAGGTTTTTCAGATCTGTGGTCGTACGAGGCACTCAGCTTTGGCATGTTACAATAATTATGATCCTCCTCCACAAGAAAATTTGACATATCAGAATACTCATTCTGATCTGAATGACTCTCAGACATGGATTCCTGATACTAGAGCAACCAATCATGTGACTCCAGATATTGCAGCTTTATCTACATCGAAAGAGTACACCGGTAATGACACATTGCGTGTTGGTGATGGTAAAACACTTTCTATTAGTCGTGTAGGTCATGCTTCTTTTCATAACCCATCTCGTTCCTTCCAATTTTCTAATATCTTTCATGTTCCCAGTGTGTCTACATCTTTATTATCTGTTCAAAAATTTGCCTTAGATAATAAAGTGTTCTTTGAGTTTCACCTTTTTTTTTTTGTGAAGGATATCAACACCAAGGAAATTCTACTTAAAGGCAATAGCCATGGGAGCCTCTATAGATTTCCAATTTCCAAATCGTCTCCCTCTGCTTTTCATATAGCTCGTACATCTCCGTTAGTGTGGCATGATCGTTTAGGACATCCACACCATCATGTTTTACTTCGTATTCTTCACTCATGTTCGGTTAGTGGGTCTAGTAATTCTATTCGATGTAGTTCCAGTTTGTGTAATGCGTGTTAATTGGGCAAATCTTCTCGATTCCCATTGTCACGTGTTGAGTCCTCCAGCTCTAGTGTTCTTGATTTAATATATACATATATTTGGGGCCCAGCTCCCCTTTTGTCAATTGATTGCTATCGTTATTTCGTTATTTTCGTGGATGATTATACTCGCTACACTTGGTATTTTCCCATTAAATTAAAATCTGATTTGTATGTCATCTTTGATAAGTTTCGTACAATGGTTGAACGGCTTTCTAACATAACAATTAAAGCCATTTAGTCTGATCTAGGAGTTGAATACAAAAATTTGCATCATTCCTTTATTCAATTAGGTATCATTCATAGACAATCATGTGCCTACACTCATGAACAAAATGGTCGTGTCGAACGAAAGCATAGACACATAGTTGAAACCGGTCTGGCTCTTCTAGCCCGTGCGTCTGTTCAGTATAAGTTCTGGGATTTTGCCTTTGAAACTGCAGTTTATTGAATCAACAAAATGTCATTCGTTGTATTAAATAATCTCAGTCCCCATTTTAAAGTACATAATTCTAATCCCTCATATTCCTTTCTTCCTGTCTTTGGGTGTCTATGTTATCCATATATCTCAGACCATACAATCGTCACAAACTCTCTTTTCGGTCCTCTCCGTGTGTTTTCCTAGGATATCCTGTGTCGTTTTGGGGGTATAGATGCATGGACTTACAGACTAACAAGATTTATGTGTGCAGGCATGTAAGGTTTGATGACATAGTTTATCCTTTTGCTACTAATAATAATGTGCAGCCTTCTCAACCTGTGTACCATTACATGTGGGCTAAGTCTGTTCTTCGCCCCACGGCTGCACCTGCTCCGCCCCTCTCCACGGCTAACGTTGTGCACTTCCCCAGCAGCGACGATCCCGCGCCGCCTCCACCACCACACGACGCCGGCGACCCACCTGGCTCGCTCGAGCACGAGCCACATGAGCAGACAGACCAACCGGCTAAGCGTCATCACGGACGTCCTCGGGGGAAAATCATTAAGTCCACAGTTCGGACTCACGAGATGCACACTAGGAGCCGTTCTCAGGCTCCCCCTTCAGTTTTAACAGTTCAGGTCTGTCCTTCGGATTCTACTTGTTACACTCAGGCAGTTAAATACTCAGAATGACGTGAAGCAATGGATCAAGAATTTAATTCCCTTCTACAAAATCAGACATGGCACCTTGTGCCATCTTAGCCAGGTATGAACATTATTGGGTGTAAGTGGGTTTTTCGTACAAAACAAAAAGCAGATGGCTCCATTGAAAGACATAAAGCAAGACTCATAGCAAAAGAATTTAATCAGGTGCCAGGTCAGGACTTCTTTGATACTTTCATTCCAGTAGTAAAACCAACTACAGTCATGTTACTTCTTTCTCTGGTTTTATCATCTGGGTGGACTATTAAGCAATTGGATGTTCATAATGCTTTCTTGAATGGAATCTCTCTGAAACTGTGTATGTGAAGCAACCACCTGGGTATATTGATGCTTACTATCCAAATCATGTCTGCTTATTAAAAAGGTCACTTTATGGATTAAAACAGGCACCTCGAGCCTGGTTTAATCATTTTCATACCTTTCTACTATCTATTGGTTTTCAGACATAAAAAACAGATGTGTCCTTATTTAACTACTCACGGGGATCTGATTGTGTATATCTGTTAGTTTATGTGGATGATATACTTATGATGGAAAGCGATACGAATCTAGTTGTTCAGCTAGTTTTGGAACTCTCTACTACCTTTAAGATTAGATATCTTGGTGAACCAGGTTTTTTTCTTGGGAAACAGAGATACATGCATGACATTCTAAAACGTGCTGGAATGGCAGAATGCAAACTTTTGTCTACTCCTATTTCCACGTCAAAACTCGCACCCATCACTGCAGTTTTACATGATGATCACACACAATATAGGAGTTTAGCTGGAGCTTTACAGTATTTAACTATTACCACTACAAGAAAAACAATTTTTAATGACAAAAATTTAGCGACGGGTAGAAAATCCCCTCACTAAATGCATTATTTGCATAGTTTTTGTGAGGATTAAAAATTAATCTAGCTAAAAGTTTATGCTTTAGTGACGAAATTTAATTTTATACTTATTTTTAAAATATACTCTCACTATTGATACAAAAGATATTATTACTCTCACTATTGATGTCTTCAAAATTATTTCACTAAAATTTAATTCCCTCCAATTTTTTATTTTTGGGCGCCCTCTCTATCATGAACCCATTTAACATCTGCTATGTCCTCTGCGGCTCTGCCTCGCCACCAGAAACCAGTCGCGGAGTCGCCTGCTTCATCTTCAAGCTTCCCAGCTGCCCAGCTCCATCTTCAACCGTCGCATGTCCGTCTTCACCCTCAGGCCTTAGGTTTGTAGTTCTTTTCTCACAATCTCACATTCTCTAATTCTTACTAGTCACCGATCGCCGTTTGGTGCCGAGCGGTCGCACCCCCTTTGGCAGTTGGTCCCTTTTCATAAATCTTAATTCAATTGTTTGCCTAAGTTTTGAATTTTGAAATCTTATTATGTTTTTGCCCTAATTTTCCCAATTATGTTTCAGCTCTAATTTCCCTAATTTCACAACCTTAAAAAGGTTTTAGCTAGCTTGTTAATTGTTATATATGTGTAAATGATATAATTTTTACAGTGTTTTTGAGTAGTAGAACTAATGGTGTTAGCTAGCTACCATATATGTAGATGTTTGTAAAATTACTAAGTTATTGTGAATGTTGTTTCTAGTTTTTGTGTTTGTGGAGATTGTTAACATAATGATTATCAGCATATAGTATTCGATTGTGGAACTTGCAACATTCGTATCCTTTTAGATAGATTCCACAAGACACAGGAATTGATGTGTCGTGTGCAGCAAATTGCAAGCTGAGCTCTAATTTGAGACGAAGCAATCTTTCTTGTACACTCACTACTCATCGACAATACTGCCGAGTAAGGTAAAATTGTGGGTAATTTTGTAATTCATGAGAGTTTCTATTTTTTTTTTTGAGGAAGACGTTTTCTATTGTTATATGATTGTTTAACCGTTTGGCTGTTAATTTCATGTCCTTCAATGTTGCTTTATGTTTCAATTGAACGGTTTTATCGACTGTCTCTACAGCGTTCGACGGAAGTCTGCAAAGACCCAATGCGATATTTGAACTCTAAAATTACAAATGTTGTTGTTTTTGAAAGAGCTCTGAAGCATTTTAAAGAAAAGCAAAATTTTTGTTGCTTAATTTTGATAATAATGCATTGTGGTGATAAAATTTACTGTCATTGCTTTTAATTGTGAGCTAAGCTTGGTTGCTTGAATCATCAATCATTAAAGAAGTTTTATAGTTTGTGTCTTCGAAATATAATAGCAAAACAGAAAAGGGAAAAGTCATGATTTTGGGCAATGTAGAAGTGAATAGTAAGGCATCTAAGGGGAAGGAGAAGTTACCCATTAAAAGATCTAAGGGAAGCTTTGGCAGTTTAAATATGGTTACATGGAAAAAATAATGAACCTGGAAAAGCATATGCAAATGGAGTATATTCTAACAGGCAATGCCCTATGGAAATGAGAATACACTTCTAACATTTTTTAATGTTTAAACTGTCTGTAACCCTACAATTTGTTAATATCAAACCTTTGTCAACATCAATAATATTGTTTTTCAGTTCTGAGAGTGCAAATGAAGGTTCAAGTGGGGGGAGTGATGCAAACTCTCAAAATGTAGGTATTTTATATCTTAGTTATTAATTTTTAAAGATAATTTTGATGGCAGTGTATACTTCTTGTTTTATTTGTGGAAAACATTATATTTTTTATGTTGTACTTTATTTTCCTCTTGATGCATGAAACTGTATTTCAGTATTTGGTTTCATGTCTCTCTAGTCTCTAATTCCTATAAGTGATATTAGTCTTCAGCCCGCTGCGTTTGATCTTGTTCGATACAGGAGGTAGGCAAGGTTCAAGTCCTTTGGAAATGCAGTGAATAGTTTGCAATGCATTTGATTAATAAAAAAACAATTGTGATGCCTTTTACTACAGGTGAAGCACCTCAGAATGGTAATGCTGCACATGGTTCTTAGAATGGAGAGAATAATGCTCTCTAATATTTGTTTTTATTTTTTACCTTATCTATATTGTACATATTCGTTTTTGTCCTAGAATGCTGGTTTTGAGAAGTACATAGAGGCTCAAGGATAAAGGTGATTCTTTTAAACTCTTTCTTTTTAAATTTATTTATTTTTTTTCCCTTTTTATATTTTTTTCTATATTCTAAATCATCTTAACATTGCTGCATTTGAGCAGGAGCTCTCTCTATCAGTAGTAGACATTGAGATCTCCTCTATAAGGTTGGTAGGGAATATCCCGACCGGCATAACTTTACCCCGGTTGGTGTGCCTTTGTCTTTGTCTTCTTGTCTTTGCAGGTAACAGGTCGGGCTTCTTGTGAAGAACCCGGTCGAGGTCCGACCAGGAGTTGCCCGAGCGGCAGTGTCGACCACCGAGCGGTAGCCCTTTGGCGAGAGAGCTGACGAGGGACACGTGGCGGCTCCACGCGTTGACAGGCAGGGCACCCGGGACGGCGACACATGGTGGCTACGTGGGAAGCATGCCGAATGGCCGGATTTGTGTCTCCGGCGCCGCGGCTATAAATACCCGCGATAGCTACAGTGTGGGAGACTTTTGGACGATCGATAGGTTGTTGTTAGAGAATCCCGACCGCAGTCAGTCGGTACTCAGAGCAACCAAGTAGATTGTACTTAGGGCCTTCACCGTGATCAATAAAGACATTTACTTGCTTTAATTGGTCTCGTATTTACTTAATTACTGCGTACGTGGCAATTAGCAGTATCAAAGGTTATTACCTCCTTATGAATATTCTTATATTTTGCATTACAATGTAAGTAACTTCTACTGATTATTATAGCAACAATGTGTTTTTGGATGTTGTAAGTTCACTTCATTTGTTTATATTGATATGAAATGAATTTTTCCTTTGCTTGAATATTGATGCTTTAGTTTAAAATTGTTATTGTTATGTTGTGTTGGAACTAGCTTCATGTCATTAAGTTGTGAAAAACTATCTAATTTAATTTGTGACTAAGATTTACAGGACCTGAAGTGTTTGCATTTACAGTTGGGACCAATATGTTGACAACCTCCCTGAATTGGGGTGATTGATGAACCACATTTCAATCTCAAGGTATATATATAAATTCTTTTAATGAAATATGTGATTTTGAGAAGTTTGTGAATAACATATTCCTGGAAAGAATGAAAAAACAAAAACAAAAAAAAAAAAAAAAAAAAAAAAAAAGCAGCAAAACTTGTTGATAACTTTATATTAAGAAAACAACAGTTACCTGGCGAAGTCCTTAACTGCATCAGTTTGATATGCATAGTGGCATATATATATATATATACATACTTCAATAACTCACAGTTGCAAATTATTATTTATTCAATTATACTGAGTATATCCTTGTTGGCTATTTTTATTTACCAGGTGGCAAAGCTATTGATGAAAAATGGCATACCTAACACCGTATTGAAAGTATATCGGACATTTTTGCTCAGGGGCTGTTTTTGTCTAAACTATAAATGTTTATATGTACAGTCTCACCTTTCAAAATAGCCAACAGATACGTTACTATAGCTATTTGTTAGCTATAATTAGTTTCTTTGCCTTTAGTCTTTACAAAGTTGTGTGAAACATTTCATTTGGTAGTGATGATGAAGTCTTTTAATATATTGATTGGTAGTGATGATGAAGTCTTTTAATATATTGATGAGTTTACTTTGATTGCATTATTGTTAAAATTATAAATTGTACTAGTACAATATCTATAGTTACAGAATAATGACGATGATAAAAATATGTATTACAAAAATTAATATTTAATATGCATCAACAATATATACAAAATAAAATTAGAAAAAATATAATATTTAATAATAAAATATAATATTTAGTGACAGGCAAATTTTAATATAGTGAGAGAAAATTTTGTTAGTAAATGGCATTATTAATGACGGGATTCTCCATCATTAAAAGAATAGATGAGTGGAAATTATGTTAGTGAATAGTTGTATTAATGACGGGATTCTTTGTCACAAAAAGTACATTTTAGTGACGGTAAATATACTATCACTATATGCTCACTAGTGATGGTATCACATCCCGTCATTAATTGTTTTTAACCGCGGAATATATAACGACGGGTCGCGACGGTAAATTTCCTGTCATTAATAGTCTTTTATGATGGTTTTAGAGCTTTTAGTGACGGATTTACCTCTCACTAATGACCAATTTTCTTGTAGTGTACGTGTCCTGATATTTCCTTTGCAATCAATCAGTTATGTCAACACATGCACGCGCCTACAGTTGCTCACTGGGAACAGCTAAAGAGAGTTTTAAGGTATGCTAAAGGAACTGTTACTTTTGGTCTACGAGTCAGACAGTCATTTTCAAGAGAAATTCATACCTTCTCTGATTCTGACTGGCCTGGCTGCCCGGAGGATAGAAAATCCACAAGTGGCTTTGCTGTTTTTCTTGGTTCTAATCTTGTATCATGGGTCTACGAGAAGCAAAGAACTGTTGCTAGATCTTCTACTGAAACTGAATATAAAGCTCTAGCAGATATTTGTGCTGAGGTAATTTGGATCATGTCTCTTCTACGAGAAATCCATGTCTAGGTATTTCAGTTCCTAATAATCTTGGAGCTACATATATGTGTTCCAATCACATCTTTCATGCTCGCACCAAACATGCAGAGATAGATTATCACTTTGGGCGAGATAGAGTTGCTGCTGGAGAACTTCAAGTCAGTTTCATCCCAACAAAAGATCAACTTGCAGACATATTTACCAAAGGATTACCTAGTCCTAGATTTTCTTTTCTCAGATACAAGCTACAAGTTACAAGTATACCATGTGCTTGAGGGGGAGTATTAGGACTAGTATTAGGTTTCTTGTATTTGAGTCACAGTATGATTCCCTATTCTAGTCTCCCTATGATTCCTCTTGTATATATTCCCCTCGTCTGTACAGTTGTAACTACAGTTCATCTAATACAGTTTCCTACAGTTCTCATCCAGCAGATATGGACTAAAATGTTCTTGATTCGAATTTATTTTGATTATTATTATTTCAAAAATTACCTAAACAAAATTTTAACTAAAATGATTATATTGAAAGATAATGCTAGATGGACTAAAAATTTTCACCATCAATAAAATTATTATTATTTATTAATTATTATAAATTGACTTAACTCACCGCTTGTTAAAATAAAATATATTTATTTTTTTTGAAAACATAAAATATATTTATTAATTTAACAGGAATCATTTATTGCTACATAAATAGTGAAAAGTTTTGGTCCATGTAACATTAATCTATACTAAATTGTTTGAATGATGATTTGGATGCTAAGTAAGCAAATAACATGGTATAATAGGTCAAAATGGAATAATTACATTTTGTTTCTAGCTCAAGGGGCTCTTTGGAACTCTTTTGTTTGATGGTTTAATTTCATTTTTCTAATAAGTTTTAAGCGTTATTCGCAGGTTTACCTAATGCACACTCTCGGGTAATAGTTGTAGGTTTCTCTTGATAAGCGCCAAATTTTACTACTTTTGAGTGGCATTTAGTGGCCAATTTGGGATTGAAATTAAAATGTTCTATTTGTACTAAAAATGCTTTAAAATGAGATAAATTGTGTTAAATCAATCATTATTGTATGGACCATGGTCCACACAATTGTGTGGACCATAAATAAAATGTACATTTTTAATATACTAAGGGTACATTATTTATGTACGTAAAGTACATTTTTTTAAAGTACATTTTTAATATACTAAGGGTACATTATTTTATATAATGTACTTTCAGTACAAAAATAATGTATTTTCAGTATAAAAATAATGTATTTTTAATATATTAAAAATGTACCCAATATTCATGGTCCATACAATAATTTGCCGTGTTAAATGACTAACTTTGAGGCATTTTTGTAATTTGTAAAAATATGTCCAAATCAAGGTAATTTGAACAAAATGGAGCAAAAATAGGATGGAAGCAAAAGTCTGCTATTACGAGTTGTGTTACGCTCATAACAAGGCCTGTAATGCTCAGGATTGGAAAGCCCATTCCTGTTATTATGAGCGTCATTACGCTCGTAACAAAGGTTGGTAACAGAGAACATTAGAAAATTAGTTCTACTATTACAAGCTGCATTTCGCTCGTAATAGGCTACGTAAAAAGGAGCATCCACGAGCCATTTTTGCCATTACAAAGGGCGTTGTGCTCATAATGCGTCACGTAATAGGGAGCATCAAAATCACAATTCTACTAGTACGAGACACATTACGCTTGTAACGGGCCTCATAAACCCAGGTGTATTGGGGAGCTATAAAAGGGAGAAGTTAGAAACTTTAGAAGAGCTTTTTCTATTCTTAGGTTTTCACTTTAGACTACTTTGAGGAGTGGTTTTTCCCTTTTACTTTTCCACCACTTTTAATGCAATTCCTTTTCAATTTCAATTTAACTTTCAATCAATACTTAGATTTACTTTTAATTGCAACATTGGATCAAGGATTGAAGATTTCAAATTCAATATAGATAAGTTCTTCTTCATTTTCATTTCTTGAAATATACTTTGTGCTTACTAAATTGGATTCCATATCTTGTGAACGTTATGGATTGTGCTCTTGTTATTGAATCCATGATATTTTTCTTTCTAGCATGTGTGAGTAGATTTATTAGGAGTGTGATAGGAAGGTAGATTAATTAGGTTTTTGGAGATGTGATCTTGAATTGATTGAGTCAGGGAGATAGACTTAATGTGGAAGATGTTGATCAACAGGATTGAGTCCCAATTAGGTAGTGACTATTAGGACTCTATGTATTTGAGTTAGATTATGACTCCTTATCCTAGTCTCCCTGTGATTCCCTCACTATATGTATTCTAGTATCATGTATCTTTGTAATCAAGTTTATTCAATACAATTCATTACG